TAGAAATTGAGAACCTTTTTTTTTTTAGGAATATGGTACAAAATACAAACATATTTCATTATTCTCCCCTCCTCCCCATCAAAAATTCCTGGATCCGTCACTGCATGCATTAGTTTTTCAAGATTATATGAGCCACAAAACAAAACTAAATTAATAGAATTAAAAGTAATACATAATCACATGTAAAGGAATTAATTGTTTAGATAGATTGGAAATCTTTTTTCTTGGAATGAAATAATAAAGGTCGTAGATATAACAAAGTTTGATTCGTTCCAGATATTATTATTTAAGTATAAATAAATGAACAACCTGCTACAATTTTAGATATGTTTTTGTTAGCTTTTTTTTCAAAAATACAATTTACGGTCATATCAATCATAGCTTTTGTTCAGGGAGATTCAAATCTCCCTGAACAATAGTCCAATCAAATTTCTCAGTTATAAACTAAAGGAATATATGTATATTCTTTAAGTTTATAACTGAGACTTTTGACAGGACAATTTTTCATATATGTATTTTCTAACTGGCTTTATAATATATAAAGCCAGTTAAAAAATAAATATATGAAAGACTTAAACAGTATTACTTTGTTTAAACGATAATATAAATTTTGATTTTCTTAACTCCATAATTTTTAATATTCATGAAATATTTAAAATTAGAGTGTGCATATACATAAGCGTGTGAAAGTATTACCATTTAAGAAAAAATAATTTTTTTTTTTTTTTTTTTTTTTTTTTTTTTTTTTTAGTTTACAATGTTAGTCGTGATACAAAATAATATAAGTCGTGATATATAATAATATAAGTCTGATACATATATAATAATATAAGTCGTGATATATAATAATATAAGTCTGATACATAAAAATATTTAAGACTTCTACAAGAAAAGAAAAAAAAATGAGTATATATATATATATATATGTATATACAATTCAGCGTACTAACAATATAAGACTAGGTTTCCGAAAGAAGATCAGAAGGATCTTATCACCGGAACCTTAAAAAAGACATAATGCAAAGATTTAACATAATGCAAATATGCAATATACTAATACAATATAACATAATGCAAATATACAATATACTAACATTTTAATACTCAATATGCTGAAGATTTGAAAAATACATTTTACATAAATTTTTAGTAGAATTTTAGAATGTTGTCCATACAGAGAATGAAGTTTTTTAATTTAGTTTTAAAAACAGGAAGAGTAGTAGAAGGGTCAAAATTTGGTAATACTATTTTATTCCAAAGATGGGGTGCACGATATGCAATACAGAATTGGTTGAACTTCGTTTTACAAAATGGTTCATTTAGAAAACTATTACTTCTTAATGTGTATTTATTTATTGGTTTTAAAGAAAAAAGGTCATTGAAAACAAATAAAGATAAATCGTTTTTCCACATAAAAGTAAAACATAAAACATTAAATATGTTAAGTTTATAAACATCTAGTACATTCATATAATCAAAAAAATATTTCGAACGTGAAAAGCGATCCGCATAATTAACTACACGGATTGCATGTTTCTGACGGCGATAAAGATGTTGTAATTTACTTTTCTCCGTACTTCCCCAGGCTATGATTGCATAATTTATATAATTATGTATAAATGAATAATAGAGCTGGGTTAAGTTTTTTTTGTTTAGATAATTTCGAGCTTTGCATAAAATGCCAATATTTTTAGAAACTTTGGTGCTTATATGATCAATATGCTTTCTCCAAGTAATATTTTCATCAAGATAAACACCTAAGAATTTTATAACAGTATCTCTTTTTATTATAGTTTCATCAATGTAAATTTGAGGCATATTATTTGTTAAAAATCGTTTTTTTGCGCAGGAGTAAAAAATAATCCATTTTGTTTTGTTAATATTTAAAGTTAATTTATTAGCTTTGAACCAGTTCGAAATGTGTTTGAGTTCTTTGTTTGTAGTTGAAAAGAGTTCATAAATATCAGTATGGGATAAGAAAAGATTAGTATCATCAGCGAACATTATACTTTTCAATTTGGAAGCTTTGTTTAAATCGTTTACATAGATTAAAAATAGTAGTGGTCCGAGAATAGAGCCTTGTGGAACACCACAAGTTATGCTCAGGGGTTCACTTTGATAACCATCATTACTATACACAAGTTGCTTTCGATTTGTTAAATAGCTTTCAAACCATTTTAAAATTTTATTGTTTAAACCATAATATTTAATTTTTTGGATTAAGATGTGGTGATCGACCGTATCAAAAGCTTTTGATAGGTCAATAAAGACACCTAGTGTGTATTGAGATTTTTCAAAAGATTTAGAGATGTTATGTATAAATTGAATGATGGCATGTTCAGTTGAGCTCCCTTTTCTGAAACCATACTGATTGTTATATAATAAATTGTTGTAATTAAAATAATTGTATACTCTATTGAAAATAATTCTTTCTAAAATTTTAGAAAATATAGAAAGAACAGAGATAGGGCGATAATTATTGATATTGGATCTGTCGCCTTCTTTATGGAGAGGGGTAACTCTGGCAAGTTTTAAACGTTCAGGAAAAATACCTTGATGAATAGATGCTCTGAAAATTTTGAAAAGAATATTTTTTAATTGTTCATAGCAATCTATAACAATATTCCCGTTTATTTCATCTGCACCAGGTGCTTTATTCTTTTTTAAAGATTTAAAAGCTTTCTCAAACTCATCAAATGATAGTTCAGCAGATAATTCTTCAGAGGAAATATTTTTATCAAAAGGTAACAAAAAATCATAAAAGTATTTATTTTTATTTATTTTTTTTTAACAATTTTTTGAATTTTTTTATAAAACAGACAAAACTACATTTTAAAACATAAGTATGAACATACATAAAATTGAAAGTTACTTAACACAAGTAATAAAAAATCCTGAATCCGCCCTAATCTTTGATTTGGATATAACAGTTATTGACTTGTTTTAGATATTTATTCGTTTTTTAGATTTTCACCTATACACAGCAAAATTTTAAATTCATTGTCAATTGTTTAAGAAATTTATTTCTCAAAACAAGAAATGTATTTATGGATTTAAGAAATATCTTGTTTTTTTTTTCGGCTGAAGAAACAGTTTATTTACATACTTTTTTTTATAATCCATTTTTACACATGCGTCGCGTGTGTTTTTTTGCTACCCCTTTTTAATCCTCCTTATGCTCACTTATGTCTAGTCTTAACCTCAACTGGAACAATACTTTACAGCATTCATCCACCCAAATAAATTAAAGGTGCGGAGCCATATCTGCATAATACCAATCATTTCCTGGAACTTGCGTTTTGGAGAGGGGGAAGTAACTTTCGTCATCTAAAACAAAACATTTTTTAGAGTAATTTCGGGTTTTAAGATTTCACGGCATTGAGTTTTCACGGTTGATATTTGTTACTCAGTGTATTCCGGTGCTCTTGTGTTTTTTCGGCAGACTATTCCTTGTTTTTTCAACGATTTGCAGATATTTTGCAAAAAATTGCGATCATTAGAGCCTGAGAACATAACAACCCCAAAATCCATTCGCCCCTGTTCCTGCCCTAAACGTGAGAGCAACAAGTTGATAAAATATATTTTTTACTATTAGCAACTAAATTTATATTTATTGATAAAATGCCGCGAAGAACAGAGACTGCTCTAAATATTTTTCTAATCTTGAGTCGAGTTCGAGTTTAAAACAAAACCACATCTCCGTAAAATTCTACCATTTCAAGCCATGGTCAAGCTGTTTTGAATAAATAATCAATAAAGTTGTTCTCTTTCGCAACTAAAATGACGTTATACTAAGTAAATAACATTACGCAGCAACCAGCATGTTTATGCGTCACTCAACGTGGGATTTTTTAACGTGTTTACAAGTACTTTTTGCAATGCCTGCAGATCTGTTTCTAAAATTTGCGGCTTTAATGTTAAACAAATTTATATTTTATATATATGGAAGTATACGAGCAATCTGCTCTATAACGCTAGTTAGAATCGGTCTTAGATAGGGTTGGCAGAAACTGAGGAAATCGGTCTTAGATGGGGTTGGCATAACCGAGTTTTAAGCACTAATTAATAAATAAAATAATATATAATTAAATTATATACTCATAAATATGTAATTTACAATTTATAATTGTTTTAAAGTTTAAATTCTGAAGTAAAAGCAAATAAATGTTGGAGTTATTCATACACTTTTTCTTTAATTTACCCTATTTTACACCTTTTCTCTATTTTACCCTATAGTTTTTCCTTCAAATCACAAATATTACTATTATTATATCATAATATTAATATTTGGATACGAAATGCTATCCTGGTAGGATGGTTCTAAGTTCAGTTCAAAACATTTGTTTGAAGTTTTGCCTACTCAAAAAGGTTTATTAATCATAATAATAATCTACTTTGGGCATTTTTTTATAACGAAAAAAACACAAGTTAAATGTTAGAGAATTGAGTTGATCTGAAGAGTTTAAAAAAAAATTAAACAAACCTTTTAATATTTTTTTTTTAACTATTTTATGTAAAATATTTATGCACGCGCATGCACACTGAGTTTCTCATCCTGTTCATCATAATAGACTGCATTTATTTAAACAAATTGTTACCTATGTCCATTAAAAAACATTGTTACCCAATTAAACATATTTTTACACACTATGTAACAATATGTTTACACACTGTAAAAATATGTTAATACATTTTGTAACAGTTGCTACTTCATTTATTTAAATTGCTAAATAAATGAAGTTTATTTTTGATAAACAGAATGAGAAACTGTGTGTTTAAACGTATGCGTATAAATATTTTGAATAATTTAAAAAATTTAGGTTAAAAAAGCTTAAATTTTTTTTAAATATGAACAGAATATTTAAATAATAAATATTCTGTTATTTAAAGTTTAAATTAACAGAGTATTTATTTTGGCACAAACCTTAGTTACCTCAAATACCAAAAATTGTAAGCAATGATATCTTAATTTTAGATAACTAACAAAGTATTTATTTTAGCACAAACCTTGATTACCTCAAATACCAAAAGTTCCAAGAAATGACATCTGTAGGACAAGATTGTCTTAAAGTTCTAAGAGAAACTTTTAAGTTTCAAGATTACAAATCAGGTTTACAAGCTCAAGCTATCAAAAAGATTGCTGGAGGTATGAGTTATTTGCTTTTTGATGATTATTTTGGTTATTATTTTCTTATTACAAGTGTTTTTTTTTACTTTTTGGTTTGTCTTTTAATTTTAAAAAATACAAGTAGAGCCTTATAATGTGTTAATAATATTGCCAAAAAATAATAATAATAATAAAAAATTAAATGTTATTAAAATTTAATGTTGCAAGTTAATTAGTGCTTACTTTAAATAATAAAGTATTATTAACTTTAACTAATAAAATATTAACATATGCACTTAAATTAGAAATCAATAATTATATAGTTCAGATATTTTACATATAAAATTCAAAAATTATTTAGTTAAATGCAGAGATGTAGTCAAGACAAAACCAAGGTTCCAAGCTTCAAAACCAAGACCAAAACAGTTAAATATGATTCTCAAACTTGTCTTGAGACTTAAGCCCTACGTCTCTGATCAAATGCTATGGCTATTTATGTTTTTTTTCTCAATAATTTCCTAATACAAGAGCTATAAACTTGTAGATTTTATTCAAGAATTACTCCTGATTCAAATTATATATGAAAATCAGCTATAACTTCAAAACTCTAACCATAACTTATTAATGAAAATCATTTTTTTTAAATCAAAAAATGGGGTGAAAGGCCACTTAAAAAAATCTAATTTAAACAACAAAACATTGTTTACATTACGTGTTTAAGCATTTAATGAAAGTAGCAAACCACAAAACTAAATTATGAAAATGAGCTTTAAGATGCACTTACCTGAATAGCTCATAGAGGTCTGGTTAAAATTTTAGCCATATTGTCCCTCAAATATTTGCTTGGCATTAGTTAGCGTTTTAAAAATCTGATATGACATGACATGCGAGAAACACTCAACAACAAACAATTATTATTTTAATTTTTTGCAACAGACAATAAAACGTCAGGTTAAGATTGGGCTGTATATATATATGTATATATATATATATATATATATATATATATATACACATATATATATATATATATATATATATATATACATATATATATATATATATATATATATATATATATATATATATATATATATATATATATATATATATATATATATATATATATATATATATATATATATATATACAATTTTAATTGGGGGGGGGGGGATTTTGTGACCTTTTATACTTCTTTCCATATTTTTAAAAAATTTATATTTTAAAAAAGAAATCCTATGCAAAACCAAGAATGTTTATTAAAAAATTCAGAATTGATTTTTAAATGCAGGCAAATGAAAGTTTCTCGTAAAAAACTATAAAAATAAATGTGCTCAAAGAATAGTTTTATTAAATCCCCTTTTTAAAAAAATATTTTTAAAAAAAAGCAGAAGTAATCAGTTCTAAAGAATTCTTTTTATAATAGTGTCAGCATATTCCACAAATGTGGGCAAATTAACAGTAGTTAAGACATTTGCGACTATCTGTAATTTTAATTTTTGGTATAAATTGAAATTTTGCTAATTTGATCATTCGTTTCTGATGAGTATTTATGAAACAATTTTTTATAAAGTATAAACCATCCTGCCACCTTTTTATAAATCTCTATATATAACAATCATTAAATGGGATGGTATTTTTGATTCATCAAATATCATCCCATTACTTTTTTTCCTCCACTTCAAGCACTGTATATATATATATATATATATATATATATATATATATATATATATATATATATATATATATATATATATATATATATATATATATACATATATATACATATATATATATATATATATATATATATATATACATATATATATATATATATATATATATATATATATATATATATATATATATATATATATATATATATATATATATATATATATATATATATATGTATCAGTAATTATGATAATATAATTGAACTCGATATGGTTCACCAAAATGTTTTAGTTATGCAAGAAACTATGTTAGAGAGAGATCTTGGTGTTATGATATCGAATGACATCAAATAAGAAAGGCATATCAACACAATTGCAGCAAAAGTTAATAGAAAGCTTGGTCAGATAAAGAAATTTTTTTTGAAAATGAAAAAAAATTACAAAATAAAAACTTTTGCAAAGGCTGTCAAAGTTTTAACATCTACAGGTGTTAGACCCACTACATTAAATTGTATGTGTACAGCAAAAAATTTATTGTTGTTATTGTTATTATTATGATTTCTTTTAATTTAAAACTATTTATTCTACTTGTAATATACTTGAATTATGAAATTTTCAAAAAGTTTTTTTGTAATGTTATAATTACATTATAAATTCATTTTTTTCAGAATTCCTTCTAAAGTAAATATTATCCTCTTTTCTTTTGTAAAAATTTACAGAAAATAACTATGTTTTTACAGATTTGATAATTGATGTTAGACTGTAGGACCGACTGTAAAATTAAGCAGATTCCTAATGAGAACTGCATAGTTTTAATTTGGTTATGATGTTCAACAAATTTAATTTGTTAATGATGTCACTACAATGCTCATTGTGATGTGTTCAAAATGTTTATTGATTATTAGTGTCTTAACACTAACTTAATGTAATAAAACAAAAGTAGATTTGTTTGTTATATAATAAAAAAAACTGACCTAGATCTGCCAAATAAACAAATTTAAATGAATAGATCTGCTCAAAATTCTCTTAAAATTTAAGAATCTGTAAAAGATTCTAGTTTTTTCAAGGTAGATAAAGTTGTATTTTGTAATATTTTTTGTTTTTAGGTGAAAAAGATGTATTTGTGTGCTTTCCTACTGGATCAGGAAAATCATTGTGCTATCAATTGCCAGCAGTTCTAAATAAAAAAGTTAATCTTGTGTTTTCACCCCTTCTTGCTCTCATAAACGATCAACTGAGATCTTTAGAAGAGTTTGGTATAGATGCAAAAACATTAAATTCCCAAGTAGCTCCGCGTGCAAGAGATATTATACTAAATGATCTAAAATGTAAAAATCCAAAAATAAAACTTCTTTATGTTACACCTGAACTGGCAAGTACATCTAATTTTTATGAGATTTTGTGTTCACTGAGGAGAAGAAATAAATTAGGTTTTTTTGCAGTAGATGAAGCCCACTGTGTTTCACAATGGGGTCATGATTTTCGACCAAGTTATTTAAAATTAGGTAGATTAAGGCGAGATTTTCCAGAATCACAATGGATTGCATTGACAGCTACAGCAACAAAGAAAGTAAAGGAAGATATTATAAAATCTTTGTGTCTTGTACCTCCTGTTGCTATTTTCCGCACAAATAGTTTCAGATCAAATTTATTCTATGATGTCAGGTTTGAATTTTAAATCTTTTTTTATTTACTTTGCTTTTTGAGTAATATAATATATTTGTTAAAACAAAAATATATAATATAATATATTTGTTAAAACAAAAATATATAATATAATATATTTGTTAAAACAAAAAACTAGCGCATAAAAGACAAGTTCATTTAATTGCATAATATTTTTTTTAAACAAGTATTTAGATTTCTTAATATATAATTACTTTTTTAAATAATTTGAAATATGAATATTTCATTTTTTATTTCAGAGTTTTAGGGAAGCTTTAAATAAATTTAATAGTTGTCTCATTTATCCTAGCTGAAAGGTTGGTTCAGACAAAAAAGTCTTTTTAATGACCAGATTTTTGAAATCTTTTTGATTGAGAATGATGTTAAATAAATATGATCCTCTTCAAATAAGATGATCACATTCATCTTTGTAAAATTATTACTATATGAAAATAATATTAAGTATTAAGGCTTTAAAAAACTTGCTGATGAGTTTAGATGACTTTCACTGAAACTTAAATAAGTAAATCCAAACGTTATCTAAAAAATAGTAGATAAAAAAGAAATCCTGTGACAAAATATTTAGTAATACAAAGAAATTTATATTGCCTACAAACTTATGTAAATGTTAAATCATTCTTTGAGCCCAGACAAAAATATTTTATAAAGGTTTTAGAAATAATAATCATTTTACATACAAATTATTAACTAAAATTAATAAATAAATATTAATAACTAAAATACTTAAATTCATTTTTTCATAATTTTTTTAGACCTCTAAAAAATATTTTTAATAATGCTGCTTGGCTCTAGAATATTTCAAATTTTTTTTATTTTAAGCACTGCCCCTAATATGTATTTAGAAACCATTGGCAGAGGTATGAGAATAGTAAGCATTTTTGGTATTTTGCTATCACATGGCAGTTATGTTTTATAAATAAACAGAAAATAACTTTATAGTTAATTAAACTTATCAAAATGAATTCTTTATTGAGATTACCAAAAAATTTTTCTTCGTTATATTGTGAGGTAAGTATTAACTTTACAAATCGTAATGATTTTTTCTGTTATACAAATAACTACAGCAGCCAGTACTGATCAACAAAAGAGGTCCGATCCTGCTCCACAACAATTTCCCATTTTCATTGCACATCTCAGGAATCACTGTTCGAAAATTAGAAGAATTGAGTATTAAAGTCTTGCCCCACCCTCCATACTCCCTAGAACTCTTGCCAACCAACTGCCAACTTTCTCACTTGAAAAATTTTTTTCTCACTTTGAAGAATAACTTTCTCACTTAAAGAAGATAACTTTCTCACTTGAAGAACCTTTACCAGTCAGAACCTAGCAAAAATGCCCTTTATCAACTTTATCAAATCCTGAGCATTCAATTTTTATGTAATTAATCGACTTGTATTACATTGGGAAAAATGAACTGATTAAAATGGCACATATTTCAATTAAATTGAATAAATATTCACTGAGATATTATAGTTTAAAGTAGACTCATTGAAATGAACTAAACTTTTTAAACCTTATATTTTATAAATAACATTTGACACTTGATGATTTATTTAAATAACCATAAAATATTTGTAAAGTACACTCAACACAAAATATTTTTATTACACCATTAAATTTATGGTTTTGGCTTCGCCAAAACTGAATAAAGTGCTTAATAGTGCTACAGTAGTTTAACTTTAAGGTCGACAGTACAGTATTAGTTCTTGCAGTTTACAAATAAAATTTATTGAAAAAGTACTATTCAGTTGCTTGGCAGGGTGACATAAAAGTAGTAATGTCTTTAATAACAAAACCATAATTTTAGATTTAGAAAAATTTTTATTGTGATTATTATACCAAAAAGTTCAAAAAGCATTTAATGTAGCTTAAAACTGCATTGATAATAAAAAAAATTTAAAAGAATTAATAAATGAAATAATAACAAATAAATAAATTAAAGTTAGACATACAGCATACAAACAAATTTTTGGTAGTATAATATGTTTCTTTTAATTTTTCAATTTCTCTTTATTTTTTGATATAATAATTGTGGTCTCTTAACAGTTTAGTAAGCAATTTATTTTATACTTATTAGGTTTAAAGATTTCTTAGATAACCCTATTGATGACTTGTATAACTTTCTTGAAGGCTGTCTTAAATTGAAAGATAATATTCCATTAAAGGTATAGTTTCTTTCATTTTTTTTATTTTATTTTATTTTTTTTTTTAACAATAAAGTATAACCTAAATAGTCTAAATTGGCACATTTGCCCCAAAGAATTTGCTAACATTGATATAAGTTGAAAAATGCAAACTGCCAACTTAAATAAAAAAGTAAGGTACATGCATGAACTGGTAGGTAAGAGCACTTACACAGAGCACTTTATTTTTTAATGTTTATTTATTATTAAAAAAAAAAGTTATAACTATTTAGTACACTTATGTCAGTTGACACATAACTTGACAAATAATTTGAAAATGTTTTGCTAGTTTGGACAAAAATGTTTGAAAATTCTCACTAATGTCAGATTGCACTTAAGCACTCATTAAAGTTTTTGGCAACTGCTTTGCACTTATGCAGATTTACACTAATGCTAGTTTACGTTCAAAGTTTGAGGTTAGGTTATTGGCCCAAATAAAAAAAAAACAGCATTTTTTATTGTTTTATTATTCTTTTTAATTTGTATTGTTCATAATGATGAAAATCTTAAAATTGTTTATAAAGTACTTTTAATTTATAGGAAAGAGGTTGTGGAATTATTTACTGTCGCACTAGAGAAGAATGCCACAATATTGCTGAGAAAATTACTAAAAAAGGTCTTTTGGCTAAAGCTTATCATTCTGGTAAGGTATAGTTTTTTTGTTTGAACGCATTGTTCAAATTTGGTGCTTTATTTTTGATTTATTTCTGAATTTGAATAAAATGTTTATTTGATCTTTGTAACAGAAGGATCAATTGTTGTTACAAAATTTTTCAAAATTATATAACATTTTTAAAAGTGTCACACTTTTAAACACCTTAAACACATGTTTGCAGCATGATTCATTAAGTCATATATGGTAAATTACATTAGAAAACAACAAAATAACAAACTTTTTTGTAGCATTAACAAAAGATAAAAAATTAGAGGTTCAAAATCAGTGGATGGATGGCTTTGTACCAATCATCTGTGCAACAATTAGTTTTGGAATGGGTGTTGATAAACAAAGTGTCAGGTATGCCAGAGTGTTAATAAGCAACTTGACAAGTATTCTTTCAAATGTGTTCAAGTTGTATTTTTTTATCTTTTATATACTAAATATATATTTTATATATCTAGAATTTATGATAAATATTTAAAGTTTTCTAAATTTTTTTTTAATTAGTTTGCTTTAAATAATTTTTAAAACTTTATTAAATCGAAACACTAAAATAAAATACTAAATATATATATATATATATATATATATATATATATATATATATATATATATATATATATATATATATATATTCAAGTTAACAAAAGTTAAAAAAGCAATAAAGATTAAACATTGTATGTTTTATTTAAATTTGCATCGGCAAAGTCAAGAATCTTGAAAGGCTTTTAACAAAATGTGTGCTAATGTTAAAAAGCAAATCAAAAGATCAACTCGAGAATACGAAACGGATTTAGTAAAGAGAGCAAAGCTTCCACCAAAACTTTTATTCTCATACGTAAATAGAAAACAGAACATTAAAACGCAAATTAGAGCAATCAAGAACAAAAAAGATCAAGTTACAACTGAGATATCAGACATTTCAGATATATTAAATAAGCAATTTCAGTCAGTCTTTGTTAATGATAATGACCAACCAATACCCGAATTCTTGCAAAGATGCGAAAACCAGTGCGATTCCAGTAAGTTATCTAATATGATTACCTATGAAAAAATTCTCAAAATGTTAGAAGGTATAGATGAGGCAAAAGCGATGGGTTTTGATGGAGTTAGTCCGTTTTTTTAAAGCATGCTGCAGAAGGTTTTGTGGACCCAATTTTCATATTTTCAAATTAAGCTTTGACACTGGATGTGTCCCTTACTCTGGTCTGTTGCAAATATATCACCAATTTACAAAGGGGAATCAAAACTTGAAACAGAAAACTACAGACCAGTATCCCTAACATCTTTTATTTGTAAAATGTTCGAAAAGCTCATTCGGGACACAATTCTGCAACATTTAGTTTTAAATAGACTTATATGTGAGGAGCAAACTGGTTTTGTTCCAAACAAATCATGGACAACAAATCTTATTGAGACAATTGACACAATTACATTTAAAACTGCAAAAGGTAAACCGTTATGCGTCATATATCTTGACTTTGCAAAGGCTTTTGATAAAGTAGAACACAAAAGATTATTGACAAAGATTAAAGCGTATGGTATAACTGGTAAAATATATAACTGGATTGAAAATTTTCTTGCAAATAGGAAATAAAGAGTATTCTTGCAAATAGGAAATAAAGAGCTATTAGTAATACAGTTTCAGAACGGGTATCAGTTACCAGTGGCGTGCCTCAGGTTTCCGTTTTGGGTCTACTGTTGTTTCTACTATTCATAAATGACCTCCCAGAAGTTTTGCTAAACACATTTAAAATGTATGCTGATGATAGCAAAATAATAGCCATAGAAGATTCCATTGATAAACAAGCGGAAATACAAACCGACCTTGACAACATTGTGAAATGGTGCAACAATTGAGGTATGGAACTAAACTGCAAAAAATGTAAGGCGATGAGATTCAGCAATCAGAAAGTTTTTTGAGGTATTGATAAAACATACACAATCAATATAAATGGAATGATTTATGACCTCTCAAACATTAGAAAGAGATCTAGGTGTCTTTGTACAACCGGATATGAGGTGGAAGCATCAAACGCAAGTATGTGTTAGCAAAGCTTCAAAAATACTGGGGTTATTGAAAAATGCCTTTGAAAGTAGAGATTGTTATATGTGGAAAATTTTGTATACTACTTATGTGCGACCTCATCTTGAGTTTGCGGCTCCAGCGTGGAGTCCTCCGAATGTGGCCGAAATCTCAATGCTTGAAAGAGTTCAACATAGGGCCACAAAAATACCATACTCAAACCGAATGCTAAGTTATGAGAAATGGCTAGTTAAAATGGATTTAATTAATTTAAATCTCAGAAGAAAACGAGGAGACCTTATTCATTTATATAAGATATTAAACAATCTAGAATTTGTCAATCTTAATGTCAAACCAGTCTATAAGTCAAGCATTAAATTAGATGGCCCATGTTCTTCCATTAGAGGTCTCAAACATAAAATTAGAATGCAGTGTTTTACTCCTCGCAAAATAAATGACTTTCATGCATCTGTTAGCTCCAGAATCCATTTCTTCACAAACAGAGTTTGCCAAATTTGGAACAAACTTCCAGAAAAAGTTGTAGATTCTGAGAATTTGAATAGTTTTAAAGCAAGTTTAGACGAATGGCTTAAGAAAAATAAGAAAATATTAATTTAAAAGAAAAAAAAAAAAAAAAAAGTACTGGGCTGCTATAGCTGAACGTTACAACGTCTCAGCTTGTGGATAAGATCCACGCAGTTTACCACTAACTAACTAACTATATATATATAATATTTAATATTATATATATATATATATATATATATATATATATATATATATATATATATATATATATATATATATATATATATATATATATATATATATTTGTAGTTAACATATAGAAACTAGAAACAAAAAAAATTTCTTGTGCGTTAAATTTTTTTATTTCTTAATGGCTTTAAGTTTTCATATTGCTTGGTCAAAATAGATATTTCAATTAACAATAATTCGCATAGAGCTAAAAGTTGGTACAAGCCTTAGGAACATTACAAATAAAGTATTAAAAGTCCCTACCGATCCCGCATCTGCAAATATATATATATATATATATATATATATATATATATATATATATATATATATATATATATATATATATATATTTATATATATTTATATATATATATATATTTTTTTTTTTCTGATGAGTCTTTATTGATGAAACACAGTGTTAAATGAGAAAAAATTTTGCTAAGTGATTTTCTACTAATTTATATATATATATATATATATATATATATATATATATATATATATTTTATATTATAATTTTGCTAAGTGATTTTCTACTAATTTATATATATATATATATATATATATATATATATATATATATATATATATATATATATATATATATATATATATATATATATATATATATATATATATATATATATAAATTAGTAGAAAATCACTTAGCAAAATTTTTTCTCATTTAACACTGTGTTTCATTAATAAAGACTCATCAGGAAAAAATATATATATATATATATATATATATATATATATATATATATATATATATATATATATATATAAATATATATTTTTCTGATGAGTCTTTATTGATGAAACACAGTGTTAAATGAGAAAAAATTTTGCTAAGTGATTTTCTACTAATTTATATATATATATATATATATATATATATATATATATATATATATATATATATATATATATATATATATATATATATATATATATATATATATATATATATATATATATATATATATAAATTAGTAGAAAATCACTTAGCAAAATTTTTTCTCATTTAACACTGTGTTTCATCAATAAAGACTCATCAGAAAAATATATATTTATATATATATATATATATATATATATATATATATAGATTTTTTTTTTTTTTTTTTTTTTCCTGATGAGTCTCTATTGATGAAACACAGTGTTAAATGAGAAAAAATTTTGCTAAGTGATTTTCTACTAATTTATATATATATATATATATATATATATATATATATATATATATATATATATATATATATATATATATATATATATATATATTAGGTCTATGGGAAAGTTCTGTCCATTTCAAGCACATGTTTGTTTAGTGCATATTCGGCTCAAATAAAGGTGTTTTATGTTTGTCTTTATTACAAAGTGATAGTGTAAACATGGCTACTGATAAAGTTCATTTATGTCACTGTATTTTATGTGAATTTCAACAAAAAAGAAACACTACAGAAGCATGTAAAAATTTATTAAAAATGTTTGATGAAGGTACTGTTTCTTATAGGACATGTAGAAGATAGTTCCAAAATTTTTAAATCGGTACTTTCTGATCAGTAACATTCTGGGTGTCCATCTTTGATTAACAGCGACATTATTAAGAACATGTTGAAACAAGATCTTTTTCTGATAACATTCAAGGTAGCAGAAACAACTCAGCAAACTACTTTTGGACCATACTCGAAAGATAGGATTTGTATGGAAATATTCAGGATGGGTGTCACATGAATTAAATCAGAAGATGTTGGGTGATCAAGTTGTCATATCTCTATAACAGATTGCTCTGAACAGATTGGGGATGAGAAATAAATTACTTACAAAAACATTGTATAAAAAAGGGCATATTGTGAACCCAGAAAACCTAGCTCTTTCACATCTAAACCACATTTGACTTCGAGTAAGAGAAGAATCCCTTTAACTGTTTATGAATCATATCACAAATCAGTATAAGCAGATCATAAAAAAATCTGCATGGTTGATTCACAGACAGATCTCAAGAGGTAAAGATCGGTAGTTCTTTATCTGATCTGATTCAAGTTGTTAGTGGTGCACCTTAGTATAGGTAGTGTGCTAGGACCAACTTTGTTCTTATTATTTGATGATTTATCATCTGTAAAAAACATTCTCAAATGTACAATAAAACTTTTTGCTGATGATTTAAAGTTATACAGTTCGTATCTTGACATAAATCATAGCCATGAATCAACTGTTGCTTTTGATAGAAAAATTATTTGGTTAAATACTTGACAATTGTTAATTGCCAACAAGAAATGTTTTGCACACAGATTAGCACTTACTCCACTGCATAATGTTAATTTTATTTACAAGTTAGGTGATTGTATTTTAGATTGGTCATCTAACCAAAAGGATTTGGAATAACTATGGATTCCTGACAAAACTACAAAAAACAAATTTCCAGAATCATTCATGTAGCAAATACTAAAGCATACCTAATCTTAAAATATTTTAAAATTGCAATCTTAGTATATTAGTACGTCATTTACCACTTATAAAAGACCAATTATTGAAGATTGCGCTCCAGTTTGGTTGACGCACCAAGCTATATTAATAAAATCTATTGAAAATATTCAAATAAAAAAATTGCTAATCTTAATCGTTTAAACTATTTTAGCCATTTTGCTTGGTTTGGATTCCCTGGAGCTTAGATGTTTAAAACCTGATTTAGTTATATGTTTCAAAATAATGCATAATTTGGTTTGTATAGATAAAAAATTTTGAGATTACCAATAATAAATATACCTGTGGTCATACTTGCAAAATTTGCAAGCAACGATGTCAACTCAACATTCGCAAATGTACCTGTGGTCATACTTGCAAATTTGCAAGTATGACCACAAAATGTACCTGTGGTCATACTTGCAGATTTGCAAGCAACGATGTCAACTGGACATTCACAAAATTATTTTTCTAAATGAGTTTAGAAAAATGATATTTGCCAATTTCGCAAGTAGTTGCAAGAAGGAATTATAATAACTGTTTTGGTACTTAACTTCAGCAGCATTTAAATCATATTCATTCTCAATGCCTGTAGTAACATTTTTTGTTATGTCATCAGACGGACTCCCAGAAGCTTTCAGAATCGATTCTTTGAATTCAAGAGTAGCAACTTTATAAATTTTACGCTGAACATTTTACGACAAAATAAATATTTTTTCAAACAAAAATCAGATTGACTTACGAGAGCTCTGGTACAAGGTGAACTAATAGTGCGGCAATAATATTGTTTCGAGTATACATTTTACCCGTCATTTCTATCAACACTAGATTCAATTAAAGTTTTCATTCCATAATCAAAAACAACTGTTTCAGTTGCTGTTAAAAGTTTACTATCAGTAAAACATAGTTGTAGTATTTAAAAAAAATGTATTAAACAGTACAAATTGTAATTAGTAGGGCTGTTAATGGTTGGTTTTGGGTCTATAATAACGAAACCCAGATCTAGTAAACAGATTAAGTCTGTGTTTAGATTACTTTATTACTAGTAAGAAACATTGTTCGATAGCCACTCTTATTCACTGCAAAGAAACCTTCATGTTAAGTCAGACCAAATATCATCTCAGACAAACAGTACGTGCTTTATTTAGTATATTTGGATGAAATACTTTAGATGTCAAAAATTCATGCAGATGAATATTTGTCAATTTTTTTTTATTAACAGGGATCATTAAAATGTGCTTTGAAAATATATTATACAAAAAAAAAATAAAAAACTAAACTAAGTAAATATTCTTAAATTTCTTTTTTTATATTATCAGATTTATAAAAACTCAATTTAAACTTTTGCCCTTGAATAACTTTTTTTGTAGATGTGGGATCAGTGGGGACTTTTTTTTGTTTGTAATGTCTCCAGTGTCTTTACTCATTTTCAGCTCTATGCAAATTATTGTAAATTTAACACTATTTTTTTAGCTCTATGCGAATTATTGTAAATCTAACACTATTTTTTGACTATTTTGACCAGACTAATATATTTATTAATAAAGATATTTAAAAAAAACTTTGTAGATTTTTCAAAAAATTAATTTGTTTTTAAACTTTGTAGGTGCGTGGTTCATTGGAATATTCCCCAAACTTTAGAAGGATATTACCAAGAAAGTGGGCGTGCTGGCAGAGATAAAAAGCAATCATTTTGTAGGATATATTTTGACAAGTATGCTTTAAAATCAACATGTTTTTTTAAAGTTTATTTTGAAATACTAAAATAAATTAACTTTTGTTTCCAATACTTTTTTTATTTAACATGGTATGTATTATATTACTAATTTATTGAACATGGTATGTATTACAGTACTGATTATAATATACCATTATACAAAATCTCACAGTTTTACAGCAATTTATTAGCTTAAATGAAAGATGAAGCAATAATAAACCTAGATTAAATAAAGCAAAAATAATAAAAGATTTACAAAATAACTTATAAATCTTGTTAGTTTATCATATAGACACGCAGTTTTGTTTTAGTTTTTTTTGTGCTACTTTTTGACTCAATATTCATTTTTTATTTATTATATATACTTCTTTTTATATACATACCAATTTTATTTGGTTTTTAAACTCAACTGCAATCCTAGTCCACATTCATCATGTTTTAATTGGTAATAATTTTAAACCATTAAGTTTTTGCATAAAAAGTAAAAAAATTTTAATGGAAACTTTGTGAAAATTTGCACAATAAAAGTAAGAAAACTTTATTAACAGTGTTTTTAGTCAGCTTTGATAACAGCAACTACAAAAAAAGAAGGTTTAAACGATATAATTTATCTACACAAAAAAAAGTAAAGTAGTGGTTTAAGATAAAAAAAAAAAAAAAATCTTCATTTGGCAATACAATTACAAATATGTGTTTAAACAAATGCTTTATCATGAGACATTTCAAGATGTCTGCTTGTCTTCGATTATCTTAAATTTTGACACGTTTTTTTATTTAAAACTTCTATTTGTTAATTACAAAAATATCATTAATAATTTTAATTAATAACTTTGTATAAACTGTGCAAATATATATTTATTAAATCAGTGATTCCACTGTTTATGTTGTGTAAAATATTTACTTATAAATTTTTTTAGACAAGGTAGAGATCAAATCAGTGATTCCACTGTTTAAGTTGTGTAAAATACTTATTAACTTTTTTAGACAAGATAGAGACCAAATTGCTTATCTTATTTCTAAAGAAGTTGAAAGGAAGGAAGAAAAGGTAAGTTACAACAATTGCTTAGCATAATTTTTCAATTTTTTTTTAAGAATTTGTATCTCATGCAAAACTGTTTAAGTTTCTGAATTTTTTTCAGCAAAATATCAGAAAATAGTGTATTATTTTCTGATATTTTGCTGGAAAATAGTGTACTACTTTTATATTTTATTGTTTGTGTTTTTTGTAAATTTTCTTTTTTTTTTGTAAATTTTTCAAGCAATGATTTATAATACTTTTTTTCTACTATTATTTCTACTATTTGTGTAATCTTAGCTTTTACCATTTTTGTAAACCATTAATATGTACAAACTATATTTGAGTATAATATTTAGTATAATAAGTAATTTCTTTTGAAAAGTTTTAGGGGTGTCCTAGCCGCCTCTTATATTTTAAAAAAGATCTGTTCATATTCTTAAAATTTTCTGTTTTTTCTCACAAGCAACTAAGTTAAATTTTTTCAAAATTTTATTGGATTTACGGAGACCCTTAAACACTTACCAGGTCCCTAATATTATAAAAAAAAAGTATGTCATGTTGGGTCATGAATGAACAATCATTTTATAAAAAAATTATTATTTAATATTTTTTTTGTTAATTATTATCAAAAAAAATACACCTTTTATTTTTAGTTATAGAAGGTCTTTTTTTTGTAATAAAATCTAAAATAATAATTTTTTAATAAAATTATTATTATTTAAAAAAAAAAAAATCTCAACAAAATTATTACACAATTGCGGTGAAAAGTTTTTAAATATTATTAATTACTGCTTAATGATTTTTAAATAAACTATTTTAAATTTTGGTGTAATGTAAATGGCGTAACATGTAGGTGAAATCGCCATTAGAAAGTGATTTTCGTCCGTTAAGTTAAATTTATGGTGATATAAAGTATTAGTTCGAGTTAAGGCGATTTTTCTTTATTCAATGCTATAGTATAAACATTAAATATGGACCATTATACTAAGTTAAGTATTGTATTTACTCTGTACTCTCAAAAGATTACATTGAAAAAAGTTATTTGGTATTAAATGGAATGCACCTAAAAGCTAGTGATCTTTTTTAAGAAATTATTATTCTAAAATAATAATTTTTTAATAAAATGATTATTATTTGAAATTTTATATAATTTTGCATGTCATAATTTTGCATTTCATATATATATATATATATATATATATATATATATATATATATATATATATATATATATATATATATATATATATATATATATATATATATATATATATATATATATATATATATAATGGTTATTAAGTGTTGGTTTTTGTGGTTTTTACTGTTTTAAGCAGTAAAAATTTGTAATTTTTATTAAACCTTATCTGTGCAATGTTGCTGTATGACAATTTTATCATTTTTACCTATGCGTTTGTAATCTAATAGAAATTATGTTTTTATATTTATTAATAATAATAGCTCAGGGCTCGAATTAAGTGATCGGGAATTGCAATATCCGGAAGTATCTGTGGTCATTAAATTATTAGTTTTTTTAAAAACCGTAAACACTGTTTTAATGAAACGGTGAGTTTATCATATTGCAAAAATTAATGAAAAAGCAAAACAATAAATTTACTACTGCAAAAATAATAACAGTCAAAATTTACATATTATTAGTTATTTTTTTTTTTAAAATAATTAATAATATGTAATTTAAGGATTACAAATAAAAAAAAGTTGCAAGACAAATTATTATTACTAAAGGTCCGAAAAACTTTCGCTGTAATTTAAAAATCAACCAATGAAAAACTATGCTTAAGCTATTTGCGCATTGTATAAAACTTTGTATAAAAAAACAACCAATTAAAAAATGCTAAAGCTAATTGCGCATTATATAAAACATTAAAGTAGATTTTTATTTAGGGGGAAAGTTTATGGAATTATTTATTTAAAAGTTTAAATGTTTAAAATTAGAATTTACTTATTTAATAAGAAAAAAAATTATAAAGTATATTTTTTTAAAATATGTTATTAAAGTTTCTTTTTTTGTTTTTGTTTTAAAGTAACTATTAAAAAGTTTAAATTAGTTTTTATATACTAACTCCTTCGTCTTTTGATTTTATATTCGTATCAGCTAAAGTGTTACAAGCGTTGAATTTATAAGAAAATATTGAATGAGATTTAAATAAGATATAAAAGTATTTTTTATTTTATTTCTTATTTAACAATTTGTTTTATTAAAAATATTCGATCACTGTTAAAGTCCTTTATATTGTTGTGATTAGAGCTTGTTTTTTAATATTTATATCATACTTTATCATGCTTTACTTTTCTAGTTTTATCTGATGTTTTATAAAATAAATTAAAATATTAAAGTTTAAATTATAATCTTTAATAATAATAAAAGTAGTGATAATATGGTTTTACATTAATTTTTATGTCATAATCGACGTAAATATTTTTTATTAAATGATATCTATTGAGTTTAGTAATCAAAACGGTTTACGGTTTTTAAAAAGCTAAAATTTTAAAGACCGAAAGCATTTCCAGATATCGCAATTCGCGATCACTTAATTCGAGCCCTGTAGCTAGTTTATATTATTTTATTTTAACAATACTTTCTATACAAAAATATATGTAAATATTGGCATACAGTTTTAGAGTTATACAAACTGCTTTATTACTGCACTTTTTTTAACTTAAGTTATGAAAGTTATATATGCAAAACATTGTCTTTACCAACAGGAAAACGATTTAAAATTTAAAAACTTATTGTGATTATTAATTTAATTAGTTTGTAAATTTAATACTTTTTTTAGTTGGTTTATTTAGAACAAATTTCAACTGTTGTGCAAAAACGCTGTGAAGAATATATATTATATTTATTATTGATTTTAGGGTTAAAATATATTTTAACTTTAAAATCAATATAATCAATAATAATTGATAAGCAAATAATAATTAATAATTTAAAATAATAATAATAATTATTATTTTTATGAGGTATTTAAGGTGCTCCAAAAATGATCTTATCAAAGCACTACAGAAGAACATTTATCTAGAAAGTTCACACTTCCTTCCTTACCCATGCTGACCACAAACCTCTTGAGTTTTAGCTCTGTCCACTGTACCACAGCTGCACTAAATTTTAATATATAGTTCATTTGCCATCAAGTGCACTAATGTTTCATTGTATGATAAAACAAAAATTATTATCTGATTTCAAATTATTAACTTGTTTTCTATGATTTTCAACCACTTCTATACTTTCGCTTTGTACTTATCCTAAAATTAGCTGAAGATTTTGTATATAGTATGATAGTATGTAATACATATTTTTAATATGTTTCTAAAATACCTTTATTTTACCTTGTGAGTATCTAAAGATAATTGCTAGTAATGCAACTATGGAAAAAGCCGATTGTGGCTTATAATAGGGTTTAATGTATGTATATAAAGCCAGTCCTTGAAGTGAAGAAAAAAAAGTAACAGGATGGTATTTGGTAAATTTAAAACACCATCCCACCTACTCATTGTTATAGAGATTTATAAAAAGGTGGCAGAATAGTTTTTACTTTATAAAAAGGTGACGGAATGGCATCCCGCCTCATCTCGCCTCACTTCGAGCACTGTATAAAGGTAATATATACATACATTAAACTCTAATAAAGGTTAAGCCGCCTAATAGGTATTGGCTGAGGCATCGACATTGGTTAATAGGCTAAACTACTAGTGCATAGATGCAACTTATATATGCAAATTGCACACTTAATGTTTATATATTACTTTTAAATACATACATTAAAACCTATTATTAGCCACAATCGGCCTTTTTTATTGGTACATCACTAATAATTGTAACATAATTTTTGAATAATTTTGAATTGTGTAACATAAGTTTAAACTTTGCCAATTATCCTAAAAGTTTTGGCGTTTTTTTAAAAATGTTTTTCAATTTAAAAAATGAAGAAATAATATTTAAAATTTGCAGATTATTCCATAGTTTGCCATCCTTTTGTCAGACTCAAAACTTTTTTTTTATTCTTCAGACTAACAGCTTTTATTCATAGATGCTAAAAATTAAACAGTTTAAATAGGATAATATTTAATAAAAATGTTGCACGTGTAATATAAGTTAAAAATTGAACACACCATATACACTACTATCCATAATTATTCGAATAGTCATATTTTTCAATATAAAATATCATAGTTTTATTTACTAAAGGAAGAGAAACTGTAAACATAGTCTACCTGAATTATATGTTATTTTATTTGGTTTACAAAAAAATTAATATAAAGTTTGATTAGATTAGTTTATAATTTACTTGCCTTTTTAATCACACTTATAACTGTTATAAATATTGTTGGCATTCTCCTTAACGATTTATCCAATTTGTCGAAGTCAATTTTATGCCACTAACTAATAAGTTTTTTGGACATCTTATGCATCATTAGCCATTACTTTTTCACATTACTTTTAATTTCACCCATAAAAATCTGATAGGAGAGAGATCTTGTTATTAGGGAGGTTTAATCATTTTATTTAATTTATTTATTCAAGTTATTTGACTGAGTTTCGTTTTCGAACTCAGTCAAATAACTTTAACAATTTTTTGAAAAAAAAATTGTTCAAGTTATTTGACTGAGTTCATTTTTGAACTCAGTCAAATAACTTTCCAGACAAACAATCTTATCTTGAAACCAAAGATTTAAAACTTCGACACGTTGATCTGCGTTTACTGTCATTGATGGTCTATTTTTTATGTAGTTTTGCCCACTTTAGTATTTTTATTATTCTTATGATTTTTATCAAAGCATTTCAATCAAAATCAATTATCTAATAGTGCGAAAATAAACATAAAAAATAGTTTATATATATATATATATATTTATATATATATATATATATATATATATATATATATATATATATATATATATATATATATATATTTATTTATATAGGCAGACAGACATGCATCATTTGAATATGTGTTTATTTGAATATGTGTTATGTACTTTATTAATAGTAAATAATATTTTTTTATTCTAAATAATGATAGTAATAGCATTTTTTTATAAAATACAGGGAATCAAAAGTGAAAATGAAATGTTAAATTTCGAAACAATGGTAAACTATGTTCAAAGCATAAGGTAACCAATCATTTTTATTTTTAGTTTTGGAACAAGTTCTATAAGGAAGCAAACACATCCTTTTTTATTTGTTATATCTAGTTGTAGACATGAATACATTGCAAAATATTTTGGTGATGATATACCACAGGTAGGAGGTGCTTAAACACTTACAATTTGTTCCAACAGGGTTCCAACAAATTTTTACTATATACTTAACTTGTTTTTTACTATATACTTAGTTTTTTTAGTTTTTATTAAATATTCAAATACATTTTTATTTAAAGTATATTGTTTTATTAACATTAACTCTTGTAGTTTCTATAAGTTGTATTTTGAAAAAAAAAAAAAAAAATTGTGAGATGTTTCGGGTATTGGGGAGGTAAGCCTCAAGTTTTAGAAAAATGACTTGAATATATGAAATCATCAAAGACGCTATCGTTATTGGATTTGAGGGACGAAAAAAAGACAGTTACAAGTTTTTTATTGTCTATGGTCTCTGTTTTTATTTGTTAATTAGTTAAAGATTGTATTTTATATTATTTAGTAAGTTTGTTTTATTCTATATTCATTTATATATATATATATATATATATATATATATATATATATATATATATATATATATATATATATATATATATATATATATATATATATATATATATATATATATATATATATATATATATATATATATATATATATATATATATATATATACTTAAGGCCTTGTTATAAGATTTTGTTGCAGAACAGAAAAGCGTAACACAAGTAAATGTAACTTTACTTAATAATCATATTTACATTGTTAAAATTTAAATTACGTCAGTTGCGTATTTTAAAGTATCGCACTGTAATTCAAATATAATTTGAAACTGCATTAAAAATCATTGAAAGTTATTTTTTTTATAAAGTACTAATATATAAGAAATTAAAAAAAAAAAAATTTAAAATATGTTTTTTAATATAATAGTTTCATAATATTTAAAAACTAAAATAAAATCTAAAAAAAACTTTTTATTTCTTAAAACAGTCATTTTAAAACACACATTATTGTCTTATGTTTGCTTTCTCATAAAAATTTTTGAAGAAAGTTTTTCAAGAAGTTTTTCATAAACTGTTTATGGTTGAATTTCTGAACGTTCAAAAAACTGTCAACAATAAACTAGTTAATCATTTCTAAATGAAGTTCATTCTATGATCAATCTAAAAAACTTAAGCTAAAAAACTATTTCAAAACTTAAAAAAAAAAATCATCTTTTAATAAAATTGTTATATAAAGTTTACTAAAAAAATTATCTAAAATAATTTTTTCTGCAACCATAGTTATGGTTTATCCGACAATGCAGTTATAAATGCATCTAGCACAAAAAATTTTTTTTTATCTAAACTAAATTATTACACAATTGCGGTGAAAAGTTTTTAAATTTGTATATATATATATATATATATATATATATACACACACACACACACATAGTTAGTTTCCAATAACGAATGTTCAACTAAAGCAAATTCCCGTTAAGTTAAATTTATGGTGATATGAAGTATTAGCTCGAGTTGAGGCGATTTTTCTTTATTCAATGCTATAGTATAAACATTAAATACGGACCGTTATACTAAGTTAAGTATTGTATTTACTCTGTACCCTTAAAAGATTACATAGAAAAAAGTTATTTGGTATTAAATGGTATACGCCTAAAAGCTAGTGACTTTTTTTTAAGAAATTTATTGAAACTTTAAAATAATTGCTTTTTAAACGTTATTTTAATTTCTTTTATATCTGATAACGATCAATTCTATTCAGATCTAATTACTATTCTATTTAGATCTAAATACAACAAAAAAAAATATTAGGCTACTGTTATTTATGTTTTATATGGAATGACTTCTTAAAAAAATTTTAATCAAGTTATTTTGATTTCTTAATTACCCATACAAAAAAAGTTTGAGTTTTGACCGAAGAAATTTGCTTAAAGGAGGACAAAAAAATGGGTCAACTTAACAAAGTTTAAGCTCGACTTAAACAGAGATTTTTAATGAAATGATTTCAAAATGATTTCTCGACTTAAACAGAGTAATCAATGAGATGATTTCAAGCGACCAAATGAAAGAGTTTATAATAACAAAAGTTCAAGGCAACTGTTGTTCAACTTATTGGGAATTAACTATATATATATATATATATATATATATATATATATATATATATATATATATATATATATATATATATATATATATATATATATATATATATATATATATATATATATATATATATAAATATATATATATATATATAATATTACTTATTTGAAAAACACCATTTGTTTGCCATTTGTCAGTATTGAGTTATCAATAGAGTATTGTTCAGTGACAGCATAAGCACAAAAAGACCACTAGTACTCTGTGCAGCCGTTCAAGGGGCTGCATTAAAGAGGCTGAAATAATCAGTTTTTCTCTGTCAGTTTTTGGTTAATAATCAGTTTTTGGCTGTTTCAGAGTGAGCTTTACGGCTTCTTGTTTTTTTTTGGAAAATATTTACTTAGGGGGTGTTAAAAAAACATTTACAACTTTTAAAATATTTGAGATAATTTTGTTTCGTAAAAAGAATAAAAACAACAATAAAATGTTTTATCATACGATATTTAATACAATAGTAAAAAAACTTTTAGTTTATAAAAAACGTGACAAATGATAAACTTGGCTAAATTTTAGTAATTTCTTGTTACTTTTTATCAAAAAAAAATCAGAAAAATATATTTCTGATAGTCATTATCAATTACACTCGTTGTTTGACTATTATTAAAATAAAAAACCTTACTTAATTGCTTAAGGTTAACAAAAACAGTCTTTATTGAAGTTTGCAAGCAAACCGCAGTTTTTGCAAAATTATGAAAAATGTCGTTTAAAAAGGGATTATCTGTTTAATGAGTACGTTTTTAAATATGAAAAAAATTCATCAAGTTGATAAACTCAATGCATTACAAAATAAAGCCAGATGTCGATTTTGAAATATTTAGCTTAACTTTCTAAGCTAAAGCCTTTAAAAAACTTAAGCAATTTCTTTCTTTCTATGCATAGAATTTTAATAATATGGTGTATTAAGTTGTTAAAAAATTAAGACTCGCTAAGCCTAATAAAATAATTCATGACCACAACTGTGTTAAAGTTTTTGAATTAACCTTGCTTTTGGTAATAGAATTATTTTATGGCACTTGAGTCAATCTCTTCTCACAAAAAAAACAACATTTGTTTAAATATACAAATAGCTAATTTTATTTGTTTGATGTGTTTTTATTCTCATAAAAAACTGTTTTATAATAAGTTGATCTACTGATTCTGTTCTTTAAGTAGAAAACAATCTCTGAACAACCAGTTGATATTAGATTCATGCTCCATTCTAAACCAGAAGATTAGTTTTTAGAAGATAGCTTTTGTTCAACAAGATAAGAAGATGGCTTTCAACAGACTCACAATAGTGACAATAACTTTTACAAATTCTTTATTTAAACTGTATCTTTACACTAACTTGTTATTTATGAGACTTAAATTCTATTCTTTAACCAGAGAGAAGGTATGTTGAGGAGAGGTACTGTAGAAGTAGAACTAACTTCTGATGATAATAATTGAATGGGCATCTAATATTTAAATTAAATTTTACATATAATAAAAGACAATACATTTTTAAAATTAACTACACAAACTAATATTTTATATCATAGCCAACAAACTTACCAGTTGCTATGCTCATAAGTTAAAGTAGTAAGCTATATTTTTACACCCATTTGATGCGAGACTTATGCACCATTCTTTAACCTGGATGGTATTGCATAAGTATAATTAACTTGTGAAGATAAGAATGAAATGGGCACCTATCTGATATATAAAATTAATAATAAAAAGTAATAGGTATTTAAAAACTTTTTTTTTTAATTATTTAGACTAAATTTTATGACCACAAACAAGACAAAGGCCTCATCTATAAAACCAATTTTCACCACGCTCAGAACACACAACACACTTTCTCACCTTAGAGGCTTGAAGCTTCCTATCAGCTTTGCTGTGCAATTCAAAGCATTTTAAAACAAGACGCAGCTTCTGTTCCTGATTTCTTACTGAATGCAACTGTCTTAATTCCTTATATACACTATTATGCAAACACTTTCCTTCCTCTTCACTCAGCAACCCAATAGTTTTATGCAATTTTACAAATAGTGGCACATTAAAAATGAGTTCATGAAACTGGACAGCAAATAAATTTATATATTGATGAAGCTCAGTAATTTCGGCATCAGAAAGAAATTTTCGCTTAAAAAGAATAGGTTGCAACTTATTAATAACACTAAACACAGGTACAAATCTATTTTTAATAGCTTCATCATCAATAACACTACAAAGTTTATAGTGGTTTTTAAAGACTATTTTGCAATGATTTGGATATTTTTTCTAGGTCTTCACACTCCATCTGCAATTTAAAATATTTAATGTCTAAAACTTTGCGTTGTGCGCATATAAAAGAAATTTTTTCAGAAATATAAAGGTCAAGACATTCAATATCTTCACCCTGACACGCTAAACACTCGTACATCTCTATCTCACACAATACATTCTTTTCTGAATCACCAATAATTTCACAATATTGATGAAACCATTTTTGGCACGTAACACACTGCACCCAATCAACGTTACAATCATATTTAGTTATTAAACACCTGATACTAGCACACATTTCTTGCTGTTTACAGGTTTTTTTTTTATTGGAGGAGTTTAGGGATATTTTTTCTTATTCGGAAAAATTGTTATTAAAAGCCAACCATCGCGCCTTTAGACTTGCAATGTCTACAAGTTGATTTCCTAATAAACGCAAAGTTTCTGCTGTTTTAGAACATTCAATGCTTTTAGCAGCCCACAATTCATTCATTCTCGTATTCTCATTATGCGACAAAGACGAATCAGCTTGACAATCTAAAGTCTTACACTCCTTCAACAATAACTTATACAGTTTTGACACAACTCCTAACATAATATGTAAAACAGGTGGTACAACATTATTTAAAGTTATTATGGGGATTATCACAGGAGCAATAATTGATTTATGAAACTTACCTAGAGCTCTTAAGTTTCCACTTTGCCTATTTTCACACAAGTTCTCATTGTAAGCACTTTCCAGAGATTGTATTGTCCTCCTTAAGATGTTACAATTAGCAGGTGTGTTTTGTATAGAAGCCAGTTTCTAAGAGATTTCAATTCAACCAGATCTGTAGAACTAGGAAAGCTAGCAGCTGAACCCTGGTGTCCAAGAACATCATCGATGAAATGAAAATCTCCACCCAAGAACAACATGACTATTTTGTCTTTTAGCTTAAAATCTGGCGACTGAATTCTTTTAATGTTGTTGGCATAATGCCCAAGAATTAAGGCAATATTCTCACGACAGTCTGAACCCTGATACAATCAAAACAAATGAACATCATATACAGACCCTGCTGATTTCTAATTGACAACTTCCAGATGGAATTTCATATACTTTCCACCCTTATCCCCAGCAAAACCAACATCCGAACTAAGGTGATCGTGTTCGTGAAGACTATTAAAAACCTCTTCAATATAAATTGTCAAATTTTTGACCATCAGTACAGATACTAAACAAGGTGCTTCATTTGCAGATGGATAAAGTAACATGGACTTCACAGTGACATGTTCTTTATTGACATGCATTGTCCGAATTTCTTGTTTTTGTCTAATCTTGGGCTCAGAGGCAAGAATCCTTGCACCGTAATTATACAAAATACGTCTTAGCCTACGGAATTCAGCCATGGGCATCCTTAATTGGCTCTGCAGCTCTACAGTATCAAAAACACTTAATTGCCTAACTAAACCTAACTTATTTGCAACATAACAATATATTGACTTTTCACAAGACATAGAATCACAAAACAACATAGACAAATCAATTTCAAAATCTGAACAAGCTAATAATCGAAGGAATATAAAAGCAAGTCTAGATCGTCTAGCTGCTGCATGCCTATCTAACTTAGAATAAGGTTTACCATGTCCTAACTTAATGTAAGTGTATTTTTTACAAACTATTGGCCTTTTAATTGATATAGTCTGTGGATTACTTTATTTAAATCCACAGAACAATTCTGAGAAACCAATGTTGTCATAGTCTAAATAAGAATCAACAACAACTAAATCCTTATCACCGCTTACAAGACATTTGCAAATTTGGCAACCATTGTGGTTTATATCACTAATTTTTGCATTATTTTTTTCAAATTTAATTTTTTTTAGCAAACTTACATTTTTGGCACGAGCAGATGCAAATTTGCGCTGTGCTGTTTTGATTTTTTTTTTTTTAAATAAGTCGGAACTGCTCCTCCTGTTTTAGCCTAATACTCATAGTCTCTACTTGAGAACATAATGAGTTACAATGTGTGCTAAGAGCCTTATTTTTAGAATTTAAATTACAAATTTCAGTATCCAACTTTAATAACTGCGATTTTAATTTCTCTATTTGCTCTACATTTGTTTTATTTTCAGAAGTTAATTGGTCAACTTGACTACTTAGTTCCTTATTCCTATTTAAAAATAAAAAATCATCTGCATCTGCTGACTTTTTTTTTTTTTTGTAGAGCTGGAGACAGTTGGATTTTAAAAAAGGCTTTGTTTTTTGAAGCTTTAAAATTTGTTTTAAAATGTTTTTTTTTGTGTATTAAATTTTGGCACATATTATCGAACTCATCAAAACTAGGCAAATTAAAATCAATTGGCATTATAAAGCTCATTAAATTAAACAATGCTTTTGACTTAAAAACTAACATTAAAATTGAAATTACATTGTTAGTCATTTTATCAATGCTAATTAATCGCTTAACAAATGGAAAGTTACACTCATTTTCCTAACTATCATCCCATTCAATCCATAGTTTTAAATTTCCCTTTCAGTAGAATACATAATGATAAATAAATCTCGTAATAAAAATATAACACAAACAATGCAAATAAAATAATATTTATTGACAAATAGATGAACAAGATATAATAGGATTAGAAAACTTATCTGATGTTAGTTGATTACCCACAAGAAAAAAAAACTGCCCAACTTTGTTTATTTTATACTTCAAAATTTGTCTCGCTAAGAAAGTTGTTTTCATAAAATTCATTAAATATTTGCTTGGGACGTACAGTACTTAAGGTCATGTGATTGTTTTAAAATGTAAACAAAGTTTTATGCATAAAACTAGAAAAATTTGTTTCTAAACAAGTCAAGTTTGAAAACATATTTCATAACATAGCTAGAGGTATAGAAAATGATTTTTTGACTTTTATATGCAGAAAGGGTTGAAATTTCAATAATTTGGTGCAGATTACAAAAATAATACGATTTTCATAATCTAATAATAAAGTTGAAAATATAAATGCATTAAAAAATAATAAAAAAAAAAGTTAGCAATCCCCACCAAAAATTAGATAGAATAGACATTTATTTATAAATGTTCCAAATTTCAACCATTAAGCATGTAGCTATGTTATGAAATCTTAGTTGACCCAAGACAGGTTTTCCGTAAAAATCACAAAAAACAGAAAAATGATCCCAAATCATTAGCAATATTTAAACAAAAAATATTTTTATTTTGTTTAATGTAAATATTTATTTAAAAAAAAAAAGATAGGTCTTTTATATTTTTTTTATTTGAAGATAAAAGCGATAGGAAAAAAACACTATTATTTTAAAGTTATTGTATTTTTAAACTTTTTTTGCGGAAATACTTTTTTTTTTTGATAAACACAAAAAAAAACTGTGATGTCAAGCTTGCTTTTATATTGAGTGAAACAGCCGTGTAAGCACAAAAAGACCACTAGTACTGTTATCTATGTGCGACTGTTCTCTTGATTTTGTAAAGCATACTTTTTTATTAGCATTAAAAGTGGCTGAAATAATCAGTTTTTATTGATTATCTCAAAACATGGTTGCTGTACAAAAAAACAACGTTGTGGGGTTTTTCAAATAAGTGATGCAATGGAATTTTTTTATATGTATATAATTTGTATACTGGTTTGTTATTGGAAATATAATTTTTTTTTGCAAAAAAGGTTTGGGTATCATTTTGAGTATTTATTTTTTATCTTTTGATTTGTATTTTTCTCAGCTTAGTGTTTTTTTGACTTATCATTCAGCATTTTTTTTGACTAAAACCATTCATTTTTAGTGCAACCGAAGTTGTGATGTTTGTAAAAATTCTGAAAAAGCCACTGCCCAATTAAATGCATTCAAGGATTCCATTAATTTCACTTCAACAACAATTAGCCTGAAAAGTTCTAATAAAACTAACAATTTATACGGAGGTGGAAAAAATGGAATTGATACTAAGTGAGTAAAGTTTTATAAAGCAATATTAAACTATAGAATAAAAGATAAGGATTTTATGTAAATTGTTGACTTATTCTTAATCTGTTATCATTATTTATTTGTTATATTACTGTAGAAGTGAATGTTTATGGTTCTTTCAAATAATTTTGAAAAAGATTTTGATAGTTCCCGAACATCACTTTGAAAACTAATCTAAATACTATTGTGTATGCTCACTTCTTTTACCTACATTGTTTTTTATTTTGTTTATTTTGTCTGAAATTCTTTTCCAATATCAATAAAGTAATATAGGTGTGACAATAAGTAACTCTCAATATAGGGATAATGAAGTAAAGCAATGGTATAAGATGGTTAAAAAAATTGTAAACATAAGATATTAATAATAAAGATTAGATAATGTGGAATATAAACACTATAGTGTTTATATTCTACATTATCTATATCAATTATCATTTTATAATTTAAATGTCAGGTCAGGTTATCCTGTCAGGACAGTAATACTGTCAGGTCAGGTTATCCTGCTACTGGTAACATGTAACCCAGTACAATCTGTTTCATGTCCTGCTGCCTTGTAGGATTTACTTTTTTAGGCAAAGGCTAGTAGGAGCCAACTCTGCCTTAGAAATACTCATCTTGGGCAGATGTTAAATGCACCCGGCTGCTCTCTTGTAGAAGGCCTCCTAGGCAAAGACTTAAGGGGTAAACAGATTCTATCTGTTGACCAGCCTTGCAACCCTTCTTCATCTATTAGGCTGGCACAGATGTGTTTTTAATACATTGTTTCCAGTTTAGGATGTTAAATCTTTGATGCATGGGTTTTGCTTGTGCCTTTATTTTTATGAGTAGGCAACTCATTCTATTATCTCCTAATGAGGGTACAGCTCTAAAACTCAGTTTTATGGTTCTGAGGCCAGCTGGTAATCAGGTTTCCCAAACTCTGTGGTAGCTCTCAGAGAGGTTGATTCCATCAACAGCTGAAAAATATCAAAGTATTAACAGTGCCATATTGAGCATGGATGTTGTTCCTGTTGGTAATTTTGGTGTACACTGTCGAGGCCACATTTGGAGCCCTTTGTTACAGCTTAAGGTTTATTCATAGTAATGAGACAGTTGCTTGGACTATTAAATAATGTACTGAGTTCTATCTATGCTTTAAGTCAAGTTCTTTAACAAATTTAAAAATGACTAAAGTACCAAAACTATAAAACACAAAAAAACCATCTTCATCACCAAGTTCTCTAAACTTATCATTCACTAATCTTCATGGTCTTCAAAGTAACTTATCTCCTGTTGAGTCTTATCTCTTGCAAAGTTCACCAGACCTACTTGTTCTTTGTGAGACTAATTTAAGCTGTCTCATCTTGTGATCTTAGTGTTGATGGTTATCTTCCTTTAATTCATAAAGACTCCAATAGTCACATGCTTGGCCATGGGCATTTACATTCGTAGAATTCACCCATATGTCCAGAACCTAGGTTTGAATCCACAGACTACTCTTTAATAATAAGGGCAAATCTGTAATTCCACCTCTCTTGTATGGTTCAGACTTTCACCTCACCTAAAGACAAAGCTGAATTGTTCGCCAAGAATTTTTCATCAATATTATCTCTTGATTCCACTAGTTAGGTCAGGTCAGGTTTTCCTGCTACTGGTAACATGTAACCCAGTACAACCTGCTCCATGTCCTGCTGCCTTGTAGGATACGCTTTTTTAGGCAAAGGCTAGGAGAAGTTAACTCCGATTTAAAACACCCCCTGCCTTGGGGCTCTCGGTTGAGTAAAGGCTAGAGATGGTGTCTCGATAAAAATACTCATCTTGGGCAGATGTTACATGCATCCAGCTGCTGTCTTGTAGAAGGCCTCCTAGGCAAAGACTTAAGGGGTAAACAGATTCTATCTGTTGACCAGCCTCGCACCCCTTCCTCATCTATTAGGCTGGCGCAGATGTATTTTTAATACATTGTTTCCAGTTTAGGATGTTGAACGCTGGATCTTCTTGACTCAATGCGTGGGTATTGCTTGTGTCTCTATTTTTATGACTGGGCAACTCATTCTATTATCTCCTAATGAGGGTACAGCTCTAAAACTCAGTTTTATGGTTCTGAGGCCGGCTGGTAGTCAGGTTTCCCGAACTCTGTGGTAGCTCTCAGAGAGGCTGATTCCATCAACAGCCGAAAAATATCAGAGTACTAACAGTGCCATGTTGCGCATGGATGGTGTCCCTGTTTGTACTTTTGGTGTGCATTGCAGAGGCCACATTTGGAGCCCTTTGTTACGGCTTAGGGTTTATTAATAGTAATGAGGCTATTGCTTAGTTGTTAAATAGTGTACTGAGTACTATCTATACTTGAGTCAAGTTCTTTATAAATTTAAAATGACTAAAATACCTAAAACTAAAAAACACAAAAAACCATTGTCATCACCAAGTTCTCTAAACCTATCATTTACTAATATTCGTGGTCTTCGAAGTAACTTTTCTTCTGTTGAGTCTTATCTCTTGCAAAGTTCACCAGACCTACTTGCTCTTTGTGAGACTAATTTGAGTTCAGCTGTCCCATCTTGTGATCTTAGTGTTGATGGTTATCTTCCTTTAATTCGTAAAGACTCCAATAATCACATGCTTGGCCTGGGCATCTACATTCGTAAGAACTCACCCATTTGTCGTGAAACTAGGTTTGAATCTACAGACTATTCATTTATGTGCTTTTGTTTAGCACAACTTCACTCTATCGCCTTTCTCTTTGTTCTATATCGCTCTCCTTCATCCCAAGATTGCACTATTCTTGATGTTATTTCTGATCAAATTGACCGAGCCCTCTCTCTTTATCCATCGGCCAATATTGTCGTTGTTGGTGACTTTAATGCCCATCACACCGATTGGCTTGGCTCTAGTGTCAGTGACTCTGCTGGCGTTAAGGCCCTCAACTTTTGCCTTTCTCAATCTCTAACTCAAATAGTCAACTTTCCAACTCGTTTTCCAGACAACCCTAATCATTTACCTTCTCTACTCGACTTATGTCTTGTTTTGGATCCTAGTCAGTGCTCAATTTCTCCACATTCACCCTTAGGTACTTCTGATCACGGTTTGATCTCTCTAAAACTATTATCAAATTCTTCTACTTCATCAGAATCCCCCTATCATCGTACCACATACAACTACCTTAAAGCTGACTGGGACTCTTTCCGTGATTTTCTTCGTGATGGCCCTTGGGTAGAAATCTTTCGTCTTCCTGCTGACAAATGTGCTTCTTACATAACTTCGTGGATTCAGGCTGGCATGGAATCTTTTATTCCCTCTCGACGATTCCAGGTCAAGCCTCACTCTTCTCCTTGGTTTTCCTCACATTGCGCTGCAGCAATTTCTAATCGAAACCGTTACTTCCATATCTATCAGCAAAACAATTCTCCAGAAAACAGACATCTGTTCACTATCGCCAGAAACCATTGTAAAAAAGTTTTGTCTGACGCCAAAGCTCGCTATTCCCAGGTCATTAAATCTCGTATCTCATCACAAAAATTAGGCTCTCGAGACTTCTGGAGAATCTTTAACAGTATCAATAATAAGGGCAAATCTGTTATTCCTTCTCTCTTGTATGGTTCAGACTTTGTCACCTCACCTAAAGACAAAGCTGAATTGTTTGCTAAGAACTTTTCATCAATATCATCTCTTGATTCCACTAGTTGCGTTTTACCTGACATAGCCGTCAAACAGGTTGATCCCTTGCTTGACATTCGCATCACTTCAGCTTCTGTATCTAAAGTAATTTCCTGCTTAGACTCTTCAACAGCTTGTGGTCCTGACAACATTCCTGTTGTAGTCTTGCAGAGGTGTTCTCCGGAGCTTTCATCCATACTTTCTAAACTATTTAACAAGTGCTTATCAGAGTCTTGTTTTCCATCATGCTGGAAAGCAGCATCTGTTATCCCTATTTTCAAAAATTCCGGAGAGCGATCTGATTCATCTAACTACCGTCCCATTAGTCTTCTTCCTGTCATAAGCAAGGTTTTTGAATCTTTAATCAACAAACACTTAATCTCTCATCTTGAATCAAATAACTTACTTTCTGATCATCAATATGGATTTCGGTCTTCTCGTTCTACAGCTGATGTGCTAACAGTAATAACCGATAGGTTTTACCGTGCATTAGATAGAGGTGGAGAGGTTAAGGCTATCGCACTTGACATTTCTAAAGCTTTTGATAAAGTTTGGCATGCTGGTCTTCTCCATAAGCTTTCTTCTTATGGTGTAGCTGGTAATGTCTTTAAGATTATTGAGTCCTTTCTTTCCAATCGTAGTATAAAAGTTGTCCTCGATGGACAACACTCTTCTTCACATCCTGTAACTTCAGGGGTTCCTCAAGGTTCAATCCTTGGCCCTATACTCTTTTTAATTTACATTAACGATCTTCCAGATATTCTCACATCTAAGGTGGCATTATTCGCTGACGACACTACCATTTACTCTTGTCATGATAAGAAGCCTACACTCTCTGATTGCTTGGAGGGGGTATCTGAGCTTGAAAAGGATCTCACTTCTGCTACAGCATGGGGCTCACAGTGGCTGGTGAACTTTAATTCAGATAAAACTCAATTTTATTCGGCCAATCGTTATCGTAATAATTTAGATCTTCCTATATTTATGAATGGTAATGTACTAGATGAGTCATCTACCATTCATCTTCTAGGATTAACTCTTACTTCTGATCTTTCTTTTAAACCGTATATCAAATCCATTGCAAAATTAGCTTCTGCTAAGGTTGCATCTCTTTATCGAGCTCGACACTTTCTTACTCCAGATTCTATTCTCTATCTCTATAAATCTCAAATCCGTCCCTGTATGGAATACTGTTGCCACATCTGGGGCGGATCTTCTAATGATGCTCTTTCTCTTTTAGACAAGGTGCAAAAACGAATTGTAAACATAGTTGGACCTGCTCTGGCAGCCAATCTCCAACCTTTGTCACATCGTCGTAATGTTGCTTCTCTTTCTCTTTTCTACAA